CTTGCTTCAGGGGTTAGTTGTCTGGGGGGAATCCAAGGCTGGATCTCCGTTTAAGAGATCATTCAAGGGCTTTAAATCATAATTAGGGAACTTAATAAAACACCTAATCCATTTTATTTCTCCTAGCAACTTTTGAAAATCATTTAAGGTTTTTAAATTATCTTTTCTTAACTCTAATTTTTGTGGAATAATATGATCTCCGATAATCTTTGTGCCCAAATAATTCACCATTTTTCCTTTTTGAATCTTTTCGGGAGCCACAAGCAATCCCTTATTCTCCAATAAAAACATCAATCTAATAAATGCCTTTTCTAAAAATTTTTCTTCCTTGGCAGCTAACAGCACATCATCCATATAATGAAAACATCTTATGATGGGGAATTCCCTTCTTAATGGCTCAATGGTCTGTCCTACATAGAGCTGACACATAGTGGGGCTATTGGCCATTCCCTGGGGCAACACAACCCATTCAAATCTCTGATCGGGCTCTTCATGATTTAAAGATGGGACAGTAAAGGCAAACCGTTTACAATCCTTCATATGGAGAGGGATAGAGAAAAAACAATCTTTTATATCTATTGCAATAACATGCCAAGACGCCGGTAAGGCAGAAAGTAACGGCAGCCCTCGCTGTACAGGGCCCATTGCTTGCATTTGGCTATTTATGGCTCGCAAGTCCTGTAAGAGGCACCATTTTCCTGATTTTTTTTTAATGACAAAGATGGGCGTATTCCATGGCGACAGGGATGGCCTTATGTGTCCCAAGGCAAGCTGTTCAGCGACTAGGGTTTTTGCTGCACTCAATTTCTCGGAGGAAAGTGGCCACTGAGGAACCCATATAGGCTCCTCCGTCTTCCATGTAATGGGAATACCTCCCTCAGCGGCCCCTAGGAAAAACCCAACCCTTGCCTCAGGTATCTCTGGTGTGCTTGAACGGGCCCCCTATTTCCTTGTAAATGTTTTCCTAGCCCGAAACTTGGATGGCATCCCATGTCCCTCATCATTTGTTGAGAGGCGGCTGAAAATTTATTGCTTAGCTTAAAGCCCATATCATTGAGCAACTCCCTCCCCCACAAGGAGACGGGAAGATCCAGGACATAGGGCTGCATAGTTCCGGAATGACCCTCCTCATCTTTCTACTGTAGGTGTCTAGCACTCACATCCGGAGCCTTAACATACCCTAGCCCCCGTAAGGTTTGAGAGGAGGCCTGTATAGGCCAACCCGATGGCCAGTCCTTTTTTGCTATAATGCTTTTGTCTGTCCCCGTGTCTAGCAGGCCAAGAATCCTTTTTCCATCCACATTAAGTGTTAGGACTGGTCTTTGATTTAATTCCAAGGACAAAAAGGTCAGATCTGTTCCTGTAGAGCCACAACATTCCTTTCCTCTTTCATTAGACCGTGCTGGAAACAGCTCATGTTGGCTGGGCAGAAGCAGAAGCTGGGCAATCCTGTCTCCCGGGGAGATAACTACTACCCCTCTAGGTGACTCTACCATTATCTTTATTGTACCATTATAGTCAGGGTCGATTACCCCAGGATGTACCTTAAGACCCTTTAAAATAGTGGATGATCTTCCCAGGAGGAGACCCACCGTGCCTGGGTTCAAGGGTCCTTGGAGGTCTGATTCTATTAATTGTACCCCCATTTGAGGGGTCAGTACGAGTTCGGAGGCGGAACAGAGGTCCAGTTCCGCTGCACCTGCAGTGGCTCTGCGAGGTTTTCGGGGTGCCGGAAGGTCGGCCACTGTTCTAGGCTCGTCTCCCTCAGATTGGGATTTTCTGTTGTTGAGTTCTCCATGGCCCCATATATTTGTGGGCCCTGAGGCTTGGGGCCCGGTCTCCCGTTTTTTGGCATTGACATATATGGGATGACATGACCGTTAATGTCCCTAACAGACCTGCACTCATTCGCCCAGTGCCTCCCTTTTTTATATTTTGGGCATAATCCTGGCATGGTGTGTTGAGTACCTTTAAAGTTTAAAGCATCCTTATTCCTTGGCTGGTCTCTCTGTGGGCAATTACGCTTCATATGCCCCGCTTTACCACAATGGAAGCAAGTTCCGGGGTGGCCGCCTTCCCTGCTTAATTTGATGACGGTGGCCGCAAGCCCCTCATTAGTCAGGGGGCCGCCTATTTCCCTGCAGGCCCTCATCCATTCCTCAAGTCTCCTATGCCTAAGTGGAGTGATAGCCACCCTGCATTCTTTGGTACATTGCTCAAACACAAGTTGCTTTATTAGCGGCATGGCAGTATCAGTATCACCGAAGATTTTTTCTGCCGCCTCCACCAACCTGGCCACAAAATCAGAAAAAGGTTCAGATGGCCCTTGTAAGATTTTTGTCAAATTGCCAGTCGTTTCCCCTTTATTGGGGAGAGCCTTCCATGCCTTAATGGCAATCTGATTTATCTGGTCATACACCAATGGTGGATAAGCATTTTGTTGAGTGGCGTATTGACCCATGCCTAGGAGCATTTCCGCATCCCAAACAGCCTGGGGCCCTCTGGCCGCGGCATTAGCTGCGCTCTGAGTAATTGCAAATTCATTGAGATAGGCCTTCCAATCTAGATATTGACCGGGTGACAAGCATGCCTTTGCAAGATTCCGCCAATCAGCCGGTGTCATGGCAAATCTATGTAGGGTCTCTAACTGAGCAACTGTAAAGGATGCTGTGACCCCGTAGGTTCTGACTGACTTGGCCAAGGATTTTACAATTTTAAAATCCAGCATTTCATGAAACCTGTTCCCTTGTGGGTCCTGGAAGATCAGATAGGCCAGAGGCATCTCTGTTCTAACCTGTCTCCAAACTTCTGAGTTGAAGCAAGCTCCTCCTGAATTAGCTATAGCCTCTGGATAGGGAGGGGGAGCCGAAGGGACTATGTCAGTCCTTGGGTAAAGTCGGCTAACTTTCTTTCTTCCTAGCTGTAATTTAGCAAGCAATCTTCGGGCGGACTGTAAAGGTGCTTTATGGGGGGCCTCCCGCTCCTTTTCCGACTCAGACTCTTCGGTGGAGGTAGGGGCGGCAGAACTATTAATATCCTCCAAGTCTGACAGGCCAGGGTATAATCTATTCCCTTCATTCTTCTGTTTTGGTTTTATTTTTAGATCCGGGGTATGACCTATGGGAGAGGCGGCCTCAACTGAGGCAGCCGACTCTGACCTCTCCTCCTGTAAAAGTCCTAGGGCCGCCTGACCGTTCCTTATGGCTTTAATGCATTTTTGATCAGTAAGGCACCCGCGAACTAACGTCCAAACGGGCCGAACCCCGGGAGCAAGGACACCGTGCTCCGCAGCAACATCTAAATCTTTGCCTAATTTCTTCCATGACGAGAGTGTCAAGCTGCCAGATACGGCAAACCAGGGTGCCACAGTGTCACACTCCGTCAGGAATCTTTCCAAAGTACTTTTCTTAAGTTCAAGGTTTTTTGAATGCAGCAACTCATTGAGCGCCAAAAAAATTGGGTGGGATGTTGAATTACCCATGTTTTTAGCAAGGTCGATTCCTGGACTGACCTGCCCTAGTACAATCCTTGCAACAAACAGTTAAAAGAAAACCCAAAAATAAAATTGAATACCACCCAAAGGGCCAAAAAAAATAATACCCTCTGTCTCACTTTTACTCTGTCCGCTTTGATGCGGCTCTACTACTTTCCCTTTTGTCCCGTCCGCTTTGACGCGGCTCTACTACTTTCATTTTATCCCGTCCGCTTTGACGCGGCTCTACTGCTTAGCTTTCCCGTCCGCTTTGATGCGGCTCTGCTGACCGTTCTCCCCTTCTCTATGGGTGAGAACAATAATCCCGCTCTTTTCGCAGATCCCCGCCTTACCTGGGGACTTACCGGTGCACCCCCTGACCGCCATGAGTTCTGAATTCCCCGTACGGGCCACCAACTGTCACGACTACCTCGACCAGCAAGGAAGATGCGACTCAGGAATCCTTCTCATCAGCGGTTTATTCAGGACCTTGATGAACAACGTGGAGGCAGCCACGGGAAAAACCCCTCCTGCTCCCTAAATAGCCGAGGCCAGCCAACCCTGAGCAGCCACGTGTGTGCAAGCCATAGGCTCACCAGAATGCATAAGCAATCTGATGATGATGGCGTGACCCCGGCGGGATGGGAGCAGGCCAAATAAGGAGTTGTTTATTACCGAGCGCACTCACCGTCGGGATGGTGGAATGCGGAAGCCGGCGCCATCTTTGAGGCGCGGTGTGGCGCAGCTCTCCACACATTGTATAATTTTAGCTTCTTTGTCAATCAAAAATCAGGTGTTCCCAGGTGTGTGGTTAATATCAGGGTTTTCAATTCCATTCTATTGTTCTATCTTTCTCTGTGCCAATACAAAGCTGTTTACATTACTATAGCTCTTTAGGATAGCTTCCATATTAGTGATTAAAAATGCTTTCTATTACTTTTTTATGTCAGATACATATAGAAAACTAGAGGTACTTGGGAGCTGAAGAAGTAACTTGCCTTCTTAGGGGGAAAATGTCTTCTTTCATTATCTTGAAAAATTTCTATAGAATTAGTGTTGGCATTATGTACAAAGTAGTCCCTAAAGGGAGAAATTGACTCAGTCACTGAACGTAACTTTCATTTCAATGAATGAAGTAAAATTATTGTAAATGACTAACAACTTACATGGAAATCATATCTTTATCTTTGAGTAAGAACTTTTGTTTGATCAGTGAGGAAGTACACATAGTAAAAATAAATTACTGTACCTAAAGTGGTGATAGGTTTCTGGGAATTGCCAAAAATCATCTAAATTGAAAGTTTTTTCCCTGGGGTTATGGAATCCACTTACTTATAGAAGACTTGACAATTTTATCTGCACAGGGAAATAAAAGTATTGGTGAAATAAATAGTGGGGCTCTATTGAGCTAATAATTAACCAATTACACTAACTGATAAAAAAATATTCCACCTAGAAAACGTGGTGACTGAGGTTTCAAATGATATAAAAAGCCAACTAAATGAAGCACTTCTGTAGCAGTCTTGAAGACACCATGGCCAAGCTCATTCTTGTCGCAGGTGAGTTGATAATCAGACATAGATTCTCAGTCTTACCTGATTCTTTCCTCAGAGGATTAAACAAGGAAGCAATTTTGACACTAATTCTACTCTTTAATATTTATCATTTGTCACTGAAATTTTTCATTCCTTATTCAGTCTTATCCTAGTTTTCATAAGCCCATAAATGAGAGAATACCTTTGCCCCCACAGCTACCACAAGCATGACACTAACTTCTCACATTAATTGAATGCTTCTTTTGCTCTTTCTTCTATCCCAGTAATTCATTGCCTTGTTCCTCTTGCTATATCTCCTGCCTGAAGTTCCCATTCTGTTTATTTTCATGTGGGTGTTCTGGAGCTACTTTTTGAGAGATGGATATCCGTAGAGTCTGAGATATAGCTATCCAAGATTATTCTTCTCTTTTCTGAATTATTTCATTGTTCTATTTCATTGATGGCTTAAATTATCAGGTGGAGATGCATTCAGTCATCCAAAAGTTAGATATGGGTGATTCAAGCCAAGTTGTTCACAACTTGCCAGTTGCTCTGAATCTGTGCCCTACACATTTTCTTGGCTTTAGGAACTTATTTAAGTGAGACTGAAGCTCAGTGTATAAAACATTCACAGTAGGTATGATCTAGTTACATGAAATAGATTCAAACATGAAGTCTCAGCACTCAAGAGGCACAGTTATAACATACTTGAGTGGAAGGACAACCAGGTCTACCTATTAAGAGACCCAGCTACAAAGAGTAAAATCAAAGAGGAAACATCCTGAAACCTAAATTGTTCCTGTATAGTTAAAATAGGTGTATGGAGCAACACATTTGGCAAAGAATTTTAATACATGCTTCCAAATAATGGCCAAGGTTCCAGAAAGCACTGAATGATGTATTTTACATGCTGTCTTGGCTGGAAGAATGTTTGGCTCATTGCAGCTCTAGGGACTAGGGCTCTTAATGTGTATGCTCACTAAGTAAAGGATCTTTTTAGTAATTTCATTGAGTGTCAATGGCAGAGGTAGTAGATTTCAAATTTTATAAAAGTAAGGACAGATGGAAGAGAAGTGCACTTCCAGGCATTACTAATCAGTGTAGAGAATGTTGAAAGGCATTATAACTTAAAAGTCCACACCTTTCAAAGCCACAAAGTTTCTTTGGGGGGTAATGATCTTCAATGACTAGGATGGGCCACAAAACTGATAATTTTAAGCCTTATGGTTCTAGAAACTGACCCAGAGAAAATATGTCTTCTCTCTCTAGGTTTGGCCATTGTGCTGAATGCTCAGTTGGGTGAGTTATTGGGAAAAAACCTTACTTTAATATAGGTCTATAAACCCAATTAATTATTTCTAAGGTAATCATCTGCCTGTCATGACTCATTTTAGTATTATTCTCTCATATTGGTTTATTGGCAAAAGATGTTATGAGGTAACCTCCTCGGGGGAAAGTGGGGTTGGCTTTGTGGTTAATAGACTCTTATCAACTTCCATTGCACTCCTATCTAGTGAGATGCATTAAGAGTTTCAAAATATGTAAGTTCTGGGAATGACAGGAATGGTTTGTAGTCTCATGAGAACCCAAAGATTTGCCATGATTTGACTATGAATCTGTACATTTTATGAAACAATGTACAATTATGAATTTGAATAAATCCATCTACTTACTATATGAAAATAGATAAGAGAAGAGGCAAAATAGTTAACAAGTTCACTGGAATCTTCATGAGGGCATTGTTCTGATAACTTTCCACAGGTTCTTCCTACCAGCTGATGTGCTATTATACCAGGTAGGCCAAGGAGCGGCCTGATGTGGGGAGTTTCACAACTGATGACATTGACCCCTGCCTGTGTACTCATGTGATCTATGCCTTTGCTTCGATGTGGAACAATGAGATCACTGCTATAAGCATGGAGGACTTGAAGGAGTATGAAGCTATAAATAATCTGAAAACCAGGTAAGAAAAGGATCAGGTAAGAGATACCTGGATTAGTATTTATGTGCAAATATATGACATATCCCAATGCTTTTTGTAAATGTAGTTCACAATCAAAGTGCTTGACTTGACAATCTGCCAATGTATTTTTCTTGAATTTTAAATTGAGACAGTTTGTATTGTGTATCACATTTGATTGCTGCCTATAGTACGGAATGGCACATAACACCATTGGGGTATGTGTTATCTCACCTACTTCTATTAAACATGGTAAGAGTGCTTCTTATCCAACGTTCTTTTACATATTCTTCATATGTTATTAATTTCTGGCCATGTTTTCCCATCCTCTTTCCTCGTAACATTTTCTAAGAATCACCATTCTACTTTCACATTCTATGTGTCTGAATATTTTAGTTTGTATTTGTATGTCAGACCATATTCTATTTGACAATCAGTCTCAATTTGCACTAAATATAATACCTGCCTGATACAAAAACAGAGTAGTAAAACCAGCTTTCATTATTTTCATGGTCAAATAGTTTTGTAGGCTTTATGTATAGCACACCATTTATCCATTCATCCAGTGCCATATACTTTCTGAAGTAACCTATGTTGTGTCTTGTAAATAATGTTATAGTTCCTGTCAAGGGCTCTCATTCTTAGGGAAGAAAATGATTCCATCTACTTGATATAAACTAAGCATTGTGGTAACTGGGTCATGTGGCAATTTTATGCTTTCTCATGTGACTCTAATCAAATATATTTCCACCAATGGTATACAAGGGTTTTTCTTATAACACCCCTGACTAAATTGAACACTTTCATTTTTATTATACCTATTGTGAGGATACAAGATATTATCTAAATGTGGTTGTAATTTAAATATCTGCAGTATACATGGAATACATTGATTTTCCTTCCCAATTTAGGTTTCATTTTTGGAGAAATGTCTACCTCAGAGCTTTGCTAACTTTTTCAAGGATGACTCATATTCTTGATATGTAGTTTATTCCATTCCTGGTACATACATTCAAATTAATTCCTTACCCTCGTGCAATTTAAAGTAACTTCAAGTATCTCACCAAGCATAATATAATGCAGTTTGTTTTCATTTTTTTCCTGATTCATAGAAAAAACAATTTTCTTCACATTTTACTAGTAGCCTAATTTTTTAGGGAAAATATTCAAATAATGTCACTACACAGAGGAGTCCAATGGATCTTTTCTTGACACTAATTTGATAGATGTGGACCTTATGTTTATATTCCTATTCTGCTGTACATTGTTTTTTGTCTGTGGTGTGACACTGGGAAACAAATTCTTGTATGGCAAATAGATAAGAGTAAGTTTCTAGCAACTGCTTGATGCAGTACACTGCCACTGATGATTTAGAATCTACATGTCAATTACCATGATACACACAATCTTTTATGCATCCATATATCATAACTATGACAACATAGATTAGTGTCTTTATTTCCATATCATGGATTACTTTTGCCTTAGATGGCTTAAAAAGGTGGGTAGAAGAGTGAAATCTTAGCTGTCTTCTTCAGAAAGTAGCAACTGAAGGGTATTAGATTTGAGATAGCACTCATTCCGAGAATCAAAAACTTTAGTTTATTCTGTTACACTTTTCCTTTGTTTAAAAATCCATACTCTCATATTCCACAAATTACACTTTTTAGTTTATGCATAACTAATACAAGGAAAACTCAAATGACTTCTACTTTGAATAATGACACATTCCTTAGGAAAAATCTAAGCTATGATAGTTTGCAACTGAAAATTAATTAATCTAAAGGAATTCTCTTGACTTTTGCAATTTAGATTTCTTACAACAAAAATAAGCAAAACTGTGAAAGCAATCCCTGCCCCTAGGCCAGATCACAGAAACTGAATCTCTGAAAAAGGGACAAGAAACGTATAACTCTCATGTCTTCCCACAATTGTTGACCATAATGATTTGGAAGCTAATGCTTCAAAACTAGTATTCCCAAGAAGATATAAATTTGCAGCAGAATTTATTTGTATTTGTATATGGAGGTTGGGAAATTAGTAAAGTTAAAAGAATCTGCCATTTTATGTGATCAGGAAGAATGTACACTAACTATGGTTCTACATTACTGGCACAGAAATGCAGTCGTACACTACATGGAAAACTTGTGTTGAGAACTTTACTTTAAAAACCTTGCACTAACAGTGTAAGAAAGAATTTTAGTGTAAAATTTTCAAAAGGAATGAAAAATTATATGGAGATGCTATTGTTTCATGGCGTGATATCACCAAATAACACGAACAGCATTCAAATCACACTGCCATTTTACATGAAGGAAACAAAAGGTTTTAATGTTTCTCTTTTTCTGTTGTTTTTAAGGAATAGGGAGCTGAAAACTCTCCTGGCCATTGGAGGCTCCAAGTTTGGATCTATTCGGTAAGTTCTGTACACAGAACCTATTGCTCTTTGCTTCTGTGGCAGCACAATCTCATTCCATTACTTCATATTTTTAGAAAGGTATTATGTATCCATTGGGTAAACAGGATAAGTCGTAAATATTTCACTGGAAGATCAAATTAAACAAAATGCACTTTTTACAAATATACATATAGCTTTCGCAAATTCAAATTAGGTTGGCTAACTGGGCTGCAATCCTCTGAGTGTTAGTTGTCCACTGCAAAGAGCTGTTTCTTTAAATAAATAAAATCCTTCAATTCAGAAGAGTGTCATGTACTTACTACTTCTTTCCATCTTTCCAGGAACTGAATTGAAGGCCCCACAAACAGAGAAAATATGCTTTGAGTTAATATGAACAGGGGTATATTTGAAGACAGTATGTGATTTATTAGATAGGGTAGAATGCTAACAAAATTGAAAGGGCAATGTTACTGTAGTTATTGCAGGGATCACAAAATAAAGGAGATGCTGAGGTTGTGATGCTAACAGGTGATTTACAAGGGGAGGCTGAAAACAAAACAAGAAGCATTGGAGAACAACAGAGACTATGAAATCAGCTGTAAACTGTCTTGTTCCAATGTGGCAATTTCACACAAATCTTCACTTCTCTTCCTTTGGTCTCCCTCAGGTTCAGTGACATGGTGTCCACTGCTCAGAACCAACTGACTTTCATTAAGTCAGTCATCAAATTCCTGCGCCAAAATCAGTTTGACGGGCTGAACCTGGACTGGCAGTACCCTGGGTATTATGGAAGTCCACCTGAGGACAAGAATCTCTTTACTCTCCTGGTGAAGGTGGGGAACTCAGGAGATACCTTTAGTCGTACAAGATTCTAAGTTCCTCCTCTCCAAGGAGAATTGGATTCTTTTAGAATAAACCAAACTTACAGGTTATTAGCATTGCATAGGCCCTGAAATATCATTCATTGATTCAACAGGCATATGGGACATTTCCACACATGCAGGTGTAGAATAATGATGTACCTTCATATGTTGTCTATGCTGTGAGTTCCAGAGTTATTATATGTTTATGTTACATACAAGTAAATAACACACAAAAAGAACATTAGTAAATTTGGCAGAACCACTAATATAATGGCATAATATCTCCAAGTTGTGTTTCCTTATAATGTTCAAGGCTCATAACAATTACATCAGAATATGTACTGTGACTAAATATGGTATACTCTATGGTAGTTAATTGGTACAGGATAAAGACAAAAATAAAGCAGAATCTTTTACTTCAAGTTGTTCTCATCTGAGGTATAACAGTGTACTCTAGGAAACAACTGAAGTGCATGAGAGGGATCAATGGGGTATAAAAGGAATTCAAATGTCTAAGTGGCTGACTTTATGTAAGTAAGGATTAAAGAGCGCTTCTGTGAAAGTGATGCTTGAATTTAGTCATGGAAAACAATTGTTGTCATCAAATTAGGTAAGGATGGATCTGTTACAATAAAGTGATAGAAATGAATGAGCAAGTCACTTGGTAAGACATATGAGTTTTAAAAGGTAGCAATTTTTCATCATGTAGGACCTTTAATTTTAGAAGAAGATATAGAATTCTCCTGCAAGAACATGGGGTATTTTGAGGGGTTGAAGATAGATGGGAACTATGACAGAACTAGCTTTTTTGAATAATTATTGTGATACTAAAAATAGAGTCAGCAGTGAAGTATTCAATAGAAAGCTTTTGAAGTAACCTGCGATCAGATGTAAGCAATGGTTTTAATAGTGAGAAGGAGGACACGTAGACAGAGAACATAAAATTCATGGAAAGAAGGGGTCATTTTGTTTCAGAGATGACAAAACATCCCAATTTTCAGACATAAAGGACAGTATCAGAATACATTACTTTCTTGAAAGTAAATAGAATAAGAGTCAATTTGTACTGAGAACAGATAATTTTCCCATCAACATAGTAAATGTGAGATATGTACATGAAAATATACAATGAAAGAATGCTGGTAATATATTTCATACTTTAGGACCACACTTGATCTACTGTTCTTGCATTCTCATGCAGGCAGTAATCATCAAGCAAAAGTTAAAACAAAAATAACCAAAGATTGGAGGTTTTTAAAATGTAGTGTCTTCTATGATCCTTTCATAAAAATTAAAACAAAACTATTAGTATCTGTATATGTAATTTTTGACAGATTTGTCTACTGATGATCTACACAGCTACCCTCAGTGACAAATTCTTTTTAACAAGATTCCTACCAGTATATATTTGCAAAACCTAGGATGTGTCTCACTACTACATAACCTTTAAATTATAGTTTCTGTTGAAAAGCTATGGCATGAATAACAATAAAAACAAATTTTTTGCAAAACTTACAATTTACAGGCATTGTTTCTAGGTGATTTCACTTCAACAGGAGAAAACTTAAAGAAATAATGCTGTGCTTTATACAATTGACATTTTCACACAGCTAATCCATTTTCTTATTATGCTTCTTTCACCAGTAATATGATCTTATCATTTGACCCACTTGCCACATGTCAAATTCCAGAAGCCTTCTTTAGAAACAGTTTCTTAAAAACTCAAAAAGAGGGATGAGAGATAACCCAAGGATTGTAGATTTGAACAGCATTCCATTGAGTCTAGGCAGATTAAAATAATGGCAGAATTTGACCTGTTTATACAGTTCTTACCACAGTCCAACTTTATCAAGTGACCATGTCATTAGACAGGAAGTTAAGTCTCTGAGGTAGTACAACCACTCAGTAATGGTAGCACCTGTCCACAGCACTCCAAGAGGATGCAGGGCAACATTGAGAGCCATTTCCAGAGAGCTAAAAACAATTACACTACTAACCAAATATTGGGGTCTGGATACTGACCACTAAATATTTGAATTGGTAATATTTTTAAATGTTGATGCATATTAGGAATCCATGTATTTAGTAATAGCATCTAACCTCCTGAATTTGTTGAGGTGATAATGCATAGTAAACTAAGAAAAATTAAGAGAGTGTGAATTGAAATCAATTTATCTATATCCTTCTATTGTGAAAAGAACTGAAAAACCATCAAACAATTGTTTTGTAGGAAATGAGTGTTGCTTTTGAGAAGGAAACCTCAGAGCACCACAAGACCAAGCTGTTAATCACTGCCACAGTATCTGGTGTCATCTCCATCATTGAGTCCGTATACGAGATCCCTGAACTGACAAAGTAAGTGGGAATACATATTTACAACTTCTGTGGATGTTTACACAGAACACCCTCATTTCTGGACCTTGTAAAGGGAGAGTTTATTTTTTCATTGTCAAGAATGACAGCTCTAAGAATGAGTTGAATTTGAATTTTTACACAAGGTTTTTATTTATACTTTAAATATCACATGTTAATCTACTGTATCTTCATTACATTTATTCACCAATGCCTCCCTCCAAATTCTCCTCATTCCCTACCTTCATACCTTTGCTTATCATAATTCTTCATTTGAGCTGTGTATGTCCTTTATAAGACCCTAATACGAACAATTTTGCCCATATGTGCTTCGTAATGGGGTTATTCCTAGTTTCACAGGCACATAAGTGTGGCAATATTCCCAATGGAGATTGAATTTCTTTCCCTAAGTACATTTTAAAAACCAATAGCATTTCACTAAGTTTGTCCCGTGGAATAGCCACTGTTTTAATTTTGGCTGATTTGATATCAGTAGGTCTTGTGCAGATAACCACAGCCATTGAGAGCTAATGTGTGCAACAGACCATTCTCATCTAGAAGTCAGCATTTCACGGTCTTCCTTCCCAGTAAACATCAGCATATAATACCTTTCAGTGGCTCTTCTATGGTATTCACTGAGCCTTCAAGTTGAGTGGTCCTGAAATACATTTCTGTTGCACAGTTGAGGATTCAGTTATTGGGAGTCTTATTTTAAACAATAAGGAGTGTCTGCATTAACCTCTACCAACTAAAAACAGCAAAGTATCTGAAAGACTTTCAGAAGAGTGTAGATATAAACATGAATATTTAAGAGACTGTTTCACAGCATGACCATAAAGCAAAAAACAGTTTTGGCTTCTTCTTAGGTTGTGAGTTTACTGGCCTTGTATATTTGCTCAAATTTACAACAGGAATGGGATCCATCCCATTACTAGACATCTTATGCAATCAGTAAGTAGTTATTATATCCTCATCCATCATGTCTTTAATGTACAACTCGACAAGCAGGAAGATTTTTTTAAATCACACCAATTTATTGTCACTAACAAAAGTAAAAGCATCATACTTTCTTCACTTTCCCATTTCCCTCATCTTGCTTTCCCCTTTCCATTCTTTAACCCCAGGGGTCCCTTCCTTCTGCTCTGTGACACATATATTCCAATACCCTCTCTTTTGCTTCTCCCTGCTCCAATTAAAGACCTTAATGTAAGACCTGGAGCTGTCAGTCGGCTAGGGGGCAGAACACTTGAAGATGCACACAGAAGTCCTTTATTTTTTGCATTTTCTATTTTTATTATTAATATAGATCCATCTGATTTAGAATATATCCTGTTTTTAAATTCAAGTAACATACTTGCTGTAAGTTACCCATTCCACTTTCTTTTTTTCCTTTTTAATTTAAATTAGAAACATGCATGCTTCAAATGTCAATCTTGCAACTTTGATTTTTTTTCTCAGGTACCTTGATTACTTTCAGGTCATGACATATGATCTAGATGGCTATACTGGTGCAAACAGTCCCCTCTACAATGATCCACCTGACCATGGCATTAGTGCCTATCTCAATGTGGTAAGACACTGAACAACCTCAAATGTAAATAAGAAATGGCTATTATCTTGGGGGAGTCAAGTCCAAAATGAACATAAACTTAGCGATCTTCTTATGCTACTTAGCAAATCTGAAAATCAAAGTCAGCAATATATTTGGAAAAACAAATCTACTTCATTTTTCATTAGATCACACATTTTAAACTGTGAGAACATCGACTAACCTAAGTAAGCACAGATCACCAGCTCTTTTGATAGTACAATTAACCTTCTGCTACTGCAGGCAGACATCATGAACTATTGGAAAAACCATGGAGCTGATCCAGAGAAGCTCATTGTTGGATTCCCAGCCTATGGACACACCTACACTCTGAGTGACCCCTCTAACAATGGAATTGGTGCCCCTACCATTGGTGCTGGCCCTCCAGGGAAATACACAAATGAAACAGGACTATGGGCTTACTATGAGGTCAGTAGACTGTTGTACAGTGGTCAATGAATTGCAGTCCCAGTTCTTTATCTGGATGCTAAAATCTGAGGAAAGTGAATGTTCATTATGTGCAGTGCCTACCACCTAAACTGAATGACCATTCCAAATTGTTTTGTTTTTACTATATTTCAGTATTAAAAATCAATAGGTCTTTAGGGTATACAAGATTCCTTCATACAAGAGATCAGTGGTACTTTACCTCCCTAATGTTGTGATCCTTCGATATAGTTCCTCATGTGTGGTAACCCCCAACCAAGATATTATTTTGTTGCTACTTCATAACTGTAATTTTGCTACTACTATTAATCATAATGTTAATATTTGATATGCAGGATATCAGATATTTGACAGATGTGGTGGTCTTAAACCACAGGTCAAGAACCTACAATATACCATAAAGTCTACTAATAAGACTGCACATAAATGGAAAATATTTACCTATCATATCATGAAGAAATTTGGTAGATACAGAAATTACAATGCAAAAATATGAATAACATGTCTGTGTATGAAATTCCAGTATCTTTAAAATTCCTCTGTCATCCAACTTTGTTTGCTAAGCTTGCCTTTTTGTTCAGGTTTTAGTCATACATATAAAAATGAAATTACATACTGCAAGTGGATACTGTGATCTCTGTTTTCTCAACCTTATAAGTTCTAGATGCAGAAAGCTGGGACAGGAGAATTACCAGTTTGAAGACTGTCTTAGGTAGAGACTGAAACTTTTACAGAATATAAAAATATGATAATAAGATCTGGAGATATATCCCAGTTGTAGATAATTTACATAGCCTGGGGAAAGATCTGTATGTATGGCATGCCTAGCAGAAATGAAAGAGAAAATTGTCTCAATTTTCAAGACAAATAAAACTCATAAGAAAATGGAAGAAAACCACACAAGATAGTGGAGAGAAATAAAAGCAATGTGCAAGCTATTTTTCTTTCTTGGTATTAATGTTTAAATATTTGAATCTCTTGAATGTTTAAAGATTTGTGACTTCCTGAATCATGGAGCCACAGAGAAATGGTATGGCCCTCAAAAAGTGCCTTATGCTTTTAAGAAAACAGACTGGGTTAGCTACGATAATCAAGACAGCTTCCGGGTAAAGGTAAGTTCAGTCCAATGGATTACTGAGATCTCATTTCTGACTACAGGAAATCAAGTAACTCATGTCCTATGTTTTAACAGGCCCACTGGCTCAAGCAGAATAACTTTGGAGGTGCCATGATCTGGCCCCTGGACATGGATGACTTCACTGGTTCTTTCTGTAAAAATTTAAACTTTCCTCTGACCACCACCTTAAAGGACAATCTCAATGTCCAGAGTCGAAGTAAGTGACAGCAGGGTTGTATTGGAGTGTAATACCACTCCTTCATCTAGTCAAAGGCAGTCTTGACAATTCCAACCCCAAATACCGGAGAGAATTTTTGCATTTTGTTTGTGGGAACTTTTCAAGATGAAAAACAGTTTCTAACCTTTCCAAACCCCTTGATTCCAATATTCTATACTGCACACTTATTGGAAACCAGGCCTACCATTTGGGTAGTATGGGATTTGCCATGTCTACTAAGTGTTCAGGCATAAAAGTCAACAGAAAAATTAGTCATTTTAGTTTTCAAATCTTCCACTCTTAAGGGATATTTATTAGAATTTATGTCTGCCACTATGAGAGTTTTTTTATTTATTTAAATGTTATCTATTTTATATTCCAACCAAAGCTCTTCCTAAGCCTCCTTACATGCCCCCCTTGAATCACACTCCCATTCCCTCCTCCCAAACTATAAGGCCTCCCATGGGAATTTAAAAAGGCCTGAAATTTTAAGGTGAGGCAGGAACAAGCCCCTCTCCCCTGCATCAAGGCTGAATAAGACATCCCACCACAGGGAATGGACTTGAAAAAGCTAGCTCATGCACCAGGGATAGATCCTGTTCCCACTACCATGAACCTCTCAAAGAAATCAAGCTACACAACTATCTCCCACATGTGGAGGACCCAGGTGGGTCCCATGCAGGCTCCCCAACTATTGTTCTAGTTTCTGAGTTGCCAAAAGCTGGGTTCAGCTTCCTCTGTTGATTTCCCCTTCATGGTATTGACTCCCTTGCTCATATATTTCATGTTCCCTCTCTTTGACTGTATTCTCAAAGCTCAGCCTGGTACTTGGTTATGGATCTCTGCATCTGGATCTATCAGTTACTGAATGAAGACTCTATGATGACAGTGGGTGTATTCAGCAATCTGAATACACGGAAAGGCCAGTACAGGTACCCTCTGTACTATTGCTAGGTGTTTCCTGTGGGGTCAACCTTGTGGATTCCTAGGAATTTTCCTAGCACCAGGATTCTCCATAACCACAGAATGGCTCCATCTATCAAAATATCTCTTTCATTGCTCTCCCACTATGTCCCTTCCTCAACTCAACCATTTATTCCCTCATAATTTTCATCACCCATCTTCTCCCCTCTGTCATCCCCCTGGCCTCCAGTTTATCCCGGAGATATCATAGCCCCTTTCCCAGAGAAATCCACCTCTTAGGGTTCTTCTTCTTACCTAGCTTTCTGGAACTGGGGATTGTTGTCTGGTTACCCTTTGCTTTATATCTAGTATCCACCAATTAGTGTGTACATTCCATGCTAGTCTGTCTGGGTCTGGATTACCTCACTCGGGATAATTTTTTCCATTTTCATATATCTGCCTGCAATTTTCATGCTGCCATTGTTTTTATATCTGAATAATACTTCATTGTATAAATATACCACATTTTCCTTATCTAATATTCAGTTGAGGGGCATCTAGTTGTTTCTATATTCTGTCTATTACGCAAATGCTGGAATGAACATTTTTGAGCCAGAATCCTTGTGGTATGATTGAGTATCCTTTGGGTAAATATCCTAGAGTGGTATCACTGAGTCTTCAGGTAGATTGATTCCCAATTTTCTGAGTTGTCACCATACTGATATCCAAAGTGGCTGTAAAAGTTTGCACTCCTGGTAACAGTGGAGGAGTGTTCCTTTGGGGTTTTTCCCAGCAACACTTCAGCAGTGCTCCAGTGCAAACATGCATCCATATGCTCTCTGATGAACAGTATATCTTAGATGTTCCTTATCAACCTCAGTTACTCACTGGGTATTCATGAAGTAATAGTGATGGTAAAGCAGTAAGTTTAATTGCCAGTTCAGCATGATCTCAGGTAGGCAATGAAGATTCGGGAATGTAATAAAAATTGGATATTTGTGGTAACTTTCCCTAACAACCAAGTCTGGATTCATCTTCTATTGTAACCTGAGAAAAAATGAAATTAACTACACCTCCAGTTTATGCAGTTAAGTTAGCACTTCTCTTCATTTCTTGGTAGTGTCTGTTCTCTATGCAGGATCTCAACTTTGTCTTTGTGTTTTATGTTTCAGGTTGTAAGACATCTGACCGTAGGGAGCTTTAACCTCTAATTGCTCTTCAAGTCATGAGAATAAATACAATATCAGCAGCTCTGGGGCTTTGGTTTCTATACACCAGTGCCCCATAGAAAATAACATCAGTACTTTGGGTCCTTCCTGAGCTGAATCACACACCAGCACATGCGGGTCTTCTCCTCAGCACCAGCTGTGAGGCTACCAGGCATGGTCTTTACCTGTCAGTTTTGTGCAATCACTGAACATCCCCCTGGCTTCTGTTAAGGCCAAATAATCCCTGCTTGGTTTTTAAAAATAAAAACGTTCACTCTGGATCTCTGCATCTGCTTCTGTCATTTACTGGATGAAGTCTCTATGAAGACAATTAGGGTAGTCACCATTCTGATTACAGGGCAAGGCTATCTCGGGGACACTCTCCAATATTACAAGGACTCTTAGCTGGGGCCATCCTTGAGGATTCCTGAGAGTTTCCCTGGCACCAAGGGTCTATGAAAGACTGAAGAAAGGACAGGGGAGAGTCAAATAAGGCAAATACATTATAGTTTTAAAATGGTTTTTGGACCCCAGACCGACAGTGGGGAGGCCAGAATGGGACTGATCTGGACCCCCCAAATGTGAGTGTCAGTGAGAAGGCCTGGACAACCTATGGGGCTCTGAGCTGTGGATCAGTGTCTATTCCTGGTATACAATCTGTCTTCATGTGCCTATAGCACAAAGAGAGATGCTCTCTCAGCCTGGACTCTTAGGGGAGTGCCTTGACCCTAAAATGATAGACTCTAAACATCCCCTATGTGGAAGTATGTGGCAATAGGGTGGGAGGGAGGGTGGAAGGGGAGTGCGGGAGGAGGGGAGGGAGAGGGAACTGGGATTGACATGTAAAACAAGCTATTTAAAATAAAAAAACTAAAAAAATAAAATAAAATAAAATGGTTTTTGTGAATTGTCTAATCAAATTCATTTAAATAACATTTTTCACATACCAACCATCTTACTTTCACTTTTTCTTCATATTTTACCCCTCCACACTCCCCATGTGCTCTTCCTTGGCCAAGCACTGGACCAAACCACAGAGGTCCAGTCTAAGAGAGACAGGAGGGATTATATTAGCAAGAGGGGAACAGATCATGACAGGAAAAAAGCACAGAGATATCTGACCTGAACTTGTGGAAACTGAGAAGTTCACAGACTCTGGACTGATGGCTAAGGGAGCCCCACATGGTACCAACCTCGGTCCTCTGCATCTGATTGGCAGTTGTACAGCTTGGTCTTTTGTGGGGCCCCTAGGAGTGGGGCCAGAATCTGGCTCAGATAGATTAACTGGCTCTTTGGAACCTATTCCCTAGGGTGAGATGCCTTGCCCAGACTTGATACAAGAGGGAGGAGCTTGGCCCAATCTCAAATTGATATGCTATTCTTTCTTGACTCACATAGGAGGCTTTGTCCCTTCTGCATGGAGACTGAGGTACAATGAGGGGGTAGAAGAGAGTGGAGAGAAGAAATGGGAGGATAGGAGGGAGAGGAAACTGTGGTTGGCAATATTAAATAAATAAATAAAAATAAGTAAATGATTAACTTTGTATTGAAATCATAAGCATCTCTTGGATTTGTGTGAGATTTGGAGAAAATCATTCGTTGCTGTGAATACTATCTGCTCAGGAGGTATAGTGCTAAAAGAGGCTGTGAGGGTAATGGTGCATCTAATTTTTCTTCTGTCTTCTGTCAGCATACATGATTCTGTAGCTAAATGGATGCTTTGAGAAGGCAATATAGGTGTTTCAAAATGGTTTAAAATACAGGAAGACGTGTCTATACCATGGTGATTGTACTACACAAGTAGCCATCGTGACTCCAGGATTCCAGTTGATACACTGTGCTCTTTGGCTTGACCAGTAATCCTTTCTAGGACATTCATAAACTCCATCAGAGGACCGAAAGCTGTTGGTGTGCCCCCTGCTTTTGCAGATTTGAAAGCTGTGCAAGAACTCTTCATAACAAGCCTTCACATTACTGAGACTTAAGAAGATCCTTCCTACAGTGCCTCATTCAATGAAACCAGTACTCGAGGTCATTTGTTCTTCTCTAATCCCACGGAATGACTGTTATCTGTCATTCACTTGTCAAATGCTGTTGGTTTTTCATCTATTTTGAGATAGTTACATGGATATAGATACTACCATGTGGAAATTCTTTAAATGTGATTCAGATGCATCAGAAATATTCATGATTTTCAAGCAGCACTATCATGCAACTACATAAGCAGTTCATGATCATAAAATCCAAAATATTTTCTGACACTTGGTAAATCCAGATATCATAAAGCATCACTGTTCATTTGACACATTCTAATTTTGTTTCTGTGATTTTTATTACTCTAAGTATCTCATGTTGTATTTATTTATTTGAATCACGGTTTCTTTGTGTAGCTTTGGAACCTGTCCTAGAACTTGATGAGTAGAACAGGCTGGCCGTGAATGGACAGAGATCAGCCTGCCTCTGCCTCACAAGTGCAAAGATCAAAGGACTGGGGCACAAACACCAGGCTCATATTTGATTGTTAGAACATGTTACTTCTCAATTTGTGACTAGGTATTGTCATTTAGCATAAGTTCTCTCATGTTTTTTAATGTCTAATCATTTCACAGTATATCCCTTTTAACTTCAAGATCACTCCATTGTATGCATATTAGAGTATGCTCATATTTCCATCCACTGACTGATATCCATCATTGCATTACTTTTTCTATTGTCCATTATGTTACTCTGGAAACATGGTTACAAATATCTCTTCAGGGTCTATTTTAACATCTTTTTGTGCATAACAAGAAGAACAATTATTTTGCCTTTTTCTCCAAAGGAACATTCCACACACAAGAGTGCATGACCAGGACAAAATAGATTGCATGGGACATGAAAAGAAAGGGCTATAGTTC